TCTCAAGTCCCCTTAAGATGGGGCCCATTAAGAATTCCTCCTCAACAATTCTGAATGGGAACCATACTTCGTTGGTAAAAGTCGATCTTTTGTGAAATTAATGTCTTCAAGGCGTTCACTATTCATTGGTACACTACACAATTTTGGTTTGGTTTCAAATTATAACGCTTTTACTTGATGAGGCGGAGGTGGTGTAGTGACAAGTGGCGCGCTTACCACTCGCGCGGTTCCTGGGTTCAAATCCCGGGTCGACTCCCGCCCAGGCCAACCAAGCCTTCTACCAAGCCACATCCGGGGACGGTGAATTGATACCGGGAGGAACAATGACTTGCACATCGGCTGGACCCCGCAGGTCATTGTATAGGCCACATCGCATTCAAAGTGCCACTACGATTCTGAATGGAAGTAGAATGCGTGCCGCATCCCACAAAGGGATTGATCAACGGCGAAGATTTTATCCTCCATAAGTAAGTAAGTATTAATTACTTACTTACTTACTTAGTTACTTACTTTCATCCTTTAACGCTTTTGCTGTCGAACATGGGCCACAAACTTTGTTCTCATGGGGGATTTTCGTTACTTACCAACCACCCATGCATGCAGGAAGGCTTAGTTGGCTATACGCGGGAATACAAATTTACAGTTTCCTGCGTGGAAGGATCAACCATGTAACCCTCAGGAATTTACTTGGAGGCGCGGTTTCGCGCCATTTTTAGCTCTTCACTTTGGCTGCCTTCTCGGATTTTTATTTAATGAAGTTTTTGCTGCAATGAATTCACGATGCGTAAGGCAGCGTTCAGACTTGTGGCGATGCGCCGCGATGCAACTGCCGGCGATGCAATTGTGCGATCGAGTCGAAATGAGAAACAGTGAATCAGGTCAGTTACAATTAAAGACTGCCCCCGCGATCAAAGTGGCTCGTGGTCAGCTTTGCTGTGCAAGTAGTCCAGCCTCCAAGCTAGTAGACTGCTCACCTTTCGCGACTCTATTGTGAGCGTGAAGGCTGCTATAGCCGCTCAAAGTGCTTAGTTCTAACTCCTCCTCAGTCGGACCGCCTTTACTTGCTAGATGTCCTCCGACGGAGGCCACTCACTTGTTCTTAGTTGGGGCGGCGGGCATTGCTAATGCCCCTGGATAATTCTGCTCCCCTTTATTACAGTTTACTCATTGGAGGTATATACATTCAATTCAACTCATTTCGCGAGGTGAAACGCGTAAAAAACACGAGTGGCGCAATTTTCGTGATGCAAAACCACGACGCACAAAAGGCGCGCCTACCGTAATCACAAATTCAGACACCGTGTTGATAAAATTCCTTTTTCCTTCCCAGAGTTTTTCCTCTGCGCTTTTTTGTTGTTTTCTTTTTGTATTCTTTCTTTTGCACTGGATGATATCAACTACTGCGAGATGTGATAGAGAGATTTGTGAGCTAGGGGTTGCACAGAGACCGCAGGGAGGTGTGACTGTGAGGGAGCGATTTTGTTTATGTTGTTCTGGAGGACGCTTCTTGCCTGTTTTCTTCTTTGGGAGATTACTTATCAGCTGCTGTTTCATAATTGGAAAGCAGCTATCCATGAGACTTTTATCGCGGGAGCTGTCTTTAAAAGCGCGGACAGCGCAGTTGTGCTCCACAAGTTGCAAACGCGGCAGTTGCATCGCTGCGCGCGCGACAGGTCGCCGCAATGCGAGACAAGTTCTGAAGCGCTGCCTAACGGAGCTTGCTCGAAACAGCATGAAATGTGGACTCGATGGCCGCCTGAGGTCAAGCGTTTACATCATAACTCCGAGCCCGTGTGGAAGTTTTTGTTAGTTGTAACTTGCATGATAGATGCCATTCCTCATTAGAAGACGGGTTCTTCTGGGTTCTTTATATTCTTTACACGGCTTAGCCAAGCAGCTCACAGCGGTGGGGGATAGGATTCCTTGTCGGCATTTTCTTTTGTCGGGTCTACTAGAAAGGTGAGGCAACTGGTCAAGCGGGGGTGCCTCACTATTTTTAAGTAGGATACGGATGAAGAACTTCGAGGCACTTTTTGGTCCTCAGGGACGATGAATCGTTCGAAATGTCAACTGATGATGCAACTCCATTAAAACAAACCTGTGGCAAAGCACTATGCAGACTGCTATTGGAGCTCTCGAAACTGCTGTTTAGACGGCGTACTTCCGCTATTTCTGCCTAT